GTATAAGTCAGAATCATTCGATTCCGCAAACGCAATATGGCGGGATATGCATCGACATTTTAAAGTTTTTTGTCATTCATGTATCATATTAAAATGAGATTCAAAAAGCCTTGTCACTACAGATTGTTTCTACTAAATTTAATGTTGGTCACAGACAGGCAAGCACGGTATGTTTACTACAATATTCACCTTTAACTTTGCTTTTACTGTAAATCTATATTTTCACGAATTTTGTGAATGTGATTGTGTATTAAAATATTTCTCCTAAAATTCTGCGCGTATCGTTGGTTCAGTAGTTCTGTTGCCGGTTGCATATAAAAACAGTTCAACGAATAACTTTGCAGTTTGAGCTGTTGATATCACAGAGACCTTTATACTATAAGTATAACAGTATTTTAGTAAAATTTGATAGTCATGTGATAGCTGCATAAAAGCTAAGCAAGGACTTTTGATGTTTTGATATCATTGTACAGTTGAAATAGAATAGATAAGTGATCTGTATATTAGTATATATGGGAATATTAATTTTCAACCATACTTGGCAGTTTGGGTTCTGTTATTATGTTCAGTTCAATTATTTTCACTGTGATTTATTAAATACTGGGTATTACTGTATACAGTATGCCTGCTAAGGCCTGCTTACTGTATTAAAGTAGAGTAGTTGGTGGAATTATTTGATCAATACAGCTTTATGGCATTACAGAGAATGTAGTAAATTAAAAATATGATAACATTTCAGATAATCAGGCTTACATACTTGTATGTTGATGTCAGTTGCAATGCCAAACTCATAGAATATATAAGTGAGTATTGTGAGTCTAAAGAAATTTGATTGACAGTATTTGTGTTTTACTGACGTGAAACTGTGCCGGTTTTTATTGCAAAATAGGGCGAGTTTAGGCGAGTTAAGCAAAATTCTGTCCACTTCTCATTGCGAGATAAGGCGAGATTGTGCGAGTTAAGCAAAATTCGATCAATTTCTATTGCGAGATAAGGCGAGTTAGGGCGAGTTAAGGCGAGTTAAGGTCCCAGAGTAGGCCTTTAAAAAAACCCCAGCAAAACTAATTGAAAATAATTTTGAAACAAATGATAGCGATATTACATTTATTAAATTAAACGACGTTTCGATGATTCAGCGTGCATCATTTTCAAGTTATAGTAATTACATGTATTGCGTTGATTTTAATAAACCGTTCGTGTCACGTTAGCAAATTATTGCGTAAGCATGCAAAATTTAAATTTATATTACGTAATAAATTATATTAAAAACATAAAACAGATTAAACATATTTCTGTCTTACATAAATGTATCAAACATGAACACAAAAAAAAGCCAACAAACAAACATACTAAACAAAACAAACATTAAGCCCAAAAATTATAGGACTAAGTATAAAGTTTTGAACGAATCGAGTCTGAATGAGTGTTCAAGGACGGCGATAGTTCCTTAATATACATCATTTCGTATAGAAGACACTCATACTTTCCTTGGCATTTTCGAAGAATTGAAAAGCAACCTTCAATTCTCGACGCATCCTCTTTGTGATATTCTCTCATATGCTTCCCTATAGCGACCGCTTGTGCTCATCAATGCGCTGATGTAAGTGCCGACTGGTATAGCCAACATAATCTGCATCGCACAGATCACATTTATATCTGTATACAACGCGTTGTTGATTTACAATTGGTGGTTTCATCTCGTTAACTTTAACTTCGTCTTTGATCTTCCTACTTTTAAATACTGGCTCTAATGCTCTTCCAATCACCGAACCAAGGCCTGCGAGTTGTCTTCGCACGATATCAGACGACTTCTGATCTTTAAACGGCAGGGCCACGCAAATCACATCTCTTTTCACATACTCAGTTGGGATCGAGCTGTTCATATCTGCGTATTTCTTGGTTACAAACTCAGAAATGATTGTGTCAACGAGTCTGAGAGGATATCGTAGATTGGCAAAAACGCTCTTTAGACGATCACACTCTTCCACAAAGTGTTTCCAGGTTGACGACAAACGGAATGCACGGTTTAGCATGGTAATAATCAACGATCTCTTATATCTACGATCGACATGGCTCTGGTAGTTGAGAAGGAGGCCGGTATTTGTTGGTTTAACATAGACTTTCGTTTCGATATGGCCATGCGTTCGTATCGCTTCCATACCAAGAAAAGGCAGCTTCCCGTCGACTTCACATTCCATTGTAAAATTCAAGGATGGGTGGCAGTTGTTGAGGGTATTAAGAAAATCTTCTGCCGATGCTAAACTTTGTTGGGTGGTAATGGTGTCATCAACAAAACAGTGGTAAAACGAGGGCATACGGTTGTTGTCAACGAAATTCTGTTCAATCGAAGTCATGAAGGTGTTCGCCATCAAGGGCCAAGTGGTGATTCCATCACAACGCCGTTTACCTGCCGGTACAGCTTACCGTCTAACTGGAAAAGTTGGTTCTTCACGGCCAAGTTCAACAAGTTGGTTAATTCCCGTTTTGGAAGGTTGTTTGTTGTTGTTTGTATACATGTTTGATACATTTATGAAAGACAGGAATATGATTAATCTGTTTTATGTTTTTTTATGTAATTTATTACGTAATATAAATTTAAATTTTGCATGCTTACGCAATAATTTGCTAACGTGACACGAACGGTTTAATTAAAATCAACGCAATATATGTAATTATTATAACTTGAAAATGATGCACGCTGTAGCATGAGATTATGAGATGATAAACCTCATTAAGCTTCATTATCTATTGTTTGAATTGCATTCGACGCGACCGAAATTCCTTCAAATTCGACGTAGTCGACGTACAAAACAGGCCTCAGATCTTTCACGTCGTTTTCAAAAAAGTACCCCAAAAATGGCGATTTTTGCCTTCGTCAGAAAGGCTAATTTCAACACAACGTGCGACATCGTAGGAAACAAAAGGGAGTTTCAGATGCGAACAACGGGTACGGAATACGGTTTCAAGCTTGTGCATGAGGCAGACAAAATTTAGGCCTACATATCCCCAGAGCATAATTTTCACCGTGGCGACCTTAGCTACAGCGTGAAAATCACATTCTTGTGTTGTAAAACAGAATCAAGAACATAGCACCGAAACTGACTACACAACGTTGAGTATAAAGAAATGATGAAAGTTAAAAGATGATTTCAAACGTAGACGGTAGTTCGTTGTTGGCATTTTAAACTCCCTACAGAAAAGGTGTACAGAGTACAGACGTTGCATTCGTCTGATCTTGACGGATAAAACATCTCGGACGCATAGCTTTTTTAAACTATATAATTGGTCGGCAATTGCAATCTCCCCCCCCCCCAAAAAAAAGAGATTCAGATTTGCTCCTCCAGTCACATTAATTCTGCCCTTGGAAAAACTGCCTCAACCGTTAGTCTCACCTGACCGTGCAGAGTGCAGAAAATGGCGTCCCTGCTACCTGAACTTTAACTACTACCCAACCAAGATATAAAATCATATGTTGTAAAGTGCTCTTTTTTCAAGAGTAGAGTCAAAAATTGTATTGTTCTTTCTCTATAGAGAGCAATGGTCAAGGAACTGAAAAGTAAATTGCACGGCAAAAGAATTGGGATTTTAATTGAAGCGTGCTTACATGAGGTATAAGAGGTGGCCAAAAGAGATTACTTAGTAATTTAGATAGAGATATAGAAGCTATATATATATACTCTGCACAGAGACGTACGAGTTTACGTTTAGATTAAAATGATTAATTTAATATAAAAAACTAAGTACTTTTTAAAACACGAGCAGGAGTGCTTTATCAGATATAAAACATGAAAGCGTAGCTCGAGTGTTTTATATCTGATAAAGCACGGACTGCGCGAATGTCAAACACTCATTAATAATTCATAAGCTTAATTATTTGCAAATCATGTCAACCATAATATGTCACGTGCAGTGGCTTTAAACCTGATAATACACTCCTAAATAATTAGTATTCTTTATATAAAGAATACTAATAAGGTGGTATCTATTGCAGTCGTGTCCTCATTAGTATTCTTTATACAAAGAATACTAATAAGGCAGTATATTTATATTGAATTTGTAGTCGTGTTTGAAGTACTATTTAAAAAACGAGCAGGAGTGTTTTATTAGGTTTAAAGCCACGAGCGCGCAGCGCGAGTGGCTTTAGACCTAATAAAACACGACCTGCGAGTTTTTTAAATGACTTCAAAAACGTTTGCATAATAAGTCAAATCTTTATATAAAAATCTTTATATAAAAATCTTTATATAAAAATCTTTATATAGTTTGCATAACAATGGTCTTTTGTTAAAGTGTTCTTTAGCTGATATAAAGACGTATGCACGTGACTAATTTCTTACTCAAGATTGGATAATTGCTTCATGAATTATTAATGAGGTTTTGAAGTACTATTTAAAAAACGAGCAGGAGTGTTTTATTAGGTCTAAAGCCACTCGCCCTGCGCGCTCGTGGCTTTAAACCTAATAAAACACTCCTGCTCGTTTAATTAAACAGTACAACAAACGACCCATCTGATGAGTTCATTGGCGAAGTAATTTTAAAGTATGGACGCTTGGTAGTATAAAATCATGTCCTCCGTTTCGTAGTTTCCTCTTCCGCTTATCAGGTAATAAGACACGAAGGCAATACTCAGGATTTGTTACAATTTTCCCCATAAAGTATTATCTCTTTCCTCAAGTTAGTTCACTCTGGAAATATCCATAGTACTTACTATTATGTATAATCTAGAACTCGCCTTAACTCAACATTAAGTCAAATTGAGTTTCCTAATTATTAGAGTCTTTACCAAGTGCAAGTTAGAATAGTTCAATGTTGTAACACTGTATCTGCATAACTCAAATTATTAAAGTGGAAGTCAAGTCTGTTCTGCGCATCGTTTCTGCTCATAACAATGTGAGGACCTCTAATGTAAACATTGCCTAAATTTCGAATGTTTCGAATTTTTCTGAACATAAACTCTATTTCATATTCATTTAGAAGCATAGCGAACCAAAATGGTGTTAGATATTCAGACAGTACATTATATTTTAAAAAATACAGCAGTACAAAATGTAAACAAACCGTTTGTTTACATTACGGACTTGACTTCCACTTTAAGGAGGAAATTTTGAGCACAAACTGTACACAAATTTTGAGCGAAGTGCCACTAAGCCCTCTACCTCGAACCTGCGGCCCTGCGAATCCGGCACTTCACTCTCTTTTTTTCGACCATACACGAAACGGAATATCGAGATAGCATGACATCTGGACAACTTTCTTTCCAGAATGAAAAAGATACGAGGATATGATTTTGTCGACATGATCAAATAACAAACGCGATTTTCTTGTTTCTCTGCTACTATATACAAGTGCTGCCATTTTCTGCTACTATATACAAGCGCTCCCATATGCCCCCTTAGTTCTTGGAAGCGTGACTTTAACCACTCATGTGCAAGACGTATCTATATAGATTTATTCAATACGATTAATCGATGCAGGTTGATGAAGATTAATCGATTACGACCCAATGGGAGCGGCTCTGATATAATCTCAAATTAACCGATATTCTTTATTAATTATAGCAAAAAAGTATGAGACCTACAATTGAATACTTGATGAAGACTCTTAATGAAATTGGTGGTGATGAGGGATGGTGGCCAGTTTGTTCCAATGCGCTTGGATTGTAGTAATTATAACTTATTTTGAAAACAGGTCGGAATTTTGTCATCGTAATTTTAAATGAATTTTATGTAGCGATAGCCTTTTTAAACAAGTATAATTCTATGTAGTTGCTCTTGTGTTAAATGTATAGTATATGGTCCTTCAGCTCCAACTCTGCCCCCAAAGTTGGCCTAAATTGCATGTAATTACAGTCGATTTCACATAACATTTGCCAAAATATTCTGAATTTCGTTTCAAAGTTCGGAGTACAGAGCCTGGAAGTAGAAGCCTGGCTTGCGAGGTTTTTGATTGGCTTCTTGCAATTCATGGACCAATTAGAGGCTTTGTTTACAGACGGCTTGTGAATTTCAACACTGAACTTTCGAACTTCAAAACGAATTTTGCGAACTTCGGAACGAAGTTTGGAACAATTCCGCAAACGTTTTGCGAAATCGACTGTAACATGACCCAACCAAACCCCTTATTTGTTGCATGTAAGCTGTTAGCGCGTGCGCAGACAAAATTGCGACCTGTTTGTTAGGATATTGTATCCTATATATATACATGATCATGGAAAAGATGCAAGGGGTTGATTGTACGAATATTATGCCGGATAGCGCTATCCATGCACCAGATAGATTTTTCAACCGTTACAAAAATGCCTAAAAAGCTATAAAATTACGGATTTATGGACGTCATAATTAGCAGAAACTTTAAATTGTAAATGCTAAAGTTTAATACAGGTTATATCAATCAGCGACAATTTTTAGCAAGCTTGAAAGAATCGCTATATCCAGTGGATAGTACTATCCGGTTAACCCATGCATGCAGATCGTTAAATTTTATAACAATAGAATTGATGTTAATTCGCAATCATAAATAATGTTTTTAGCCCGAGTCAGACTCGAGCTTAACGAGAATCATCATTCTAGTGATTGGCCATTTTTGTTTTATTGATTATTGTATCGATTGGTTGAATAAGTGCTTGATTGTTTATTTGATTGATTAACTCATTGGTGATAATGATTATTATTGGGGTTTTTTCCCCGGGCAGCCCGGTTTTCCCCGAATACATATACCGCACTGGGACCGGTTGTGTAAAAATGGTAGTTACAGTTAACTATATATAGCCTGTGTCATGCACATAACATTACTGACGGTAAAGTAAGGTCTGTGAACTTTTGCGCGATTGCTTGTTGCTATTAAATCCTGGTTTGGGGATTTCATTTATTCAAATTTGCAATAAATTCGTTCGCATTATCGAAATTTGAGACAATTCTAAGAATCTTTTATAGCTTTTGCACGATTGTCCTAACATTCGAAATATATGTGATTTTGAATCTCTCTCCTCCGCAGAGGCTTTAGTTTTCTTAGGATTTAATATTACGATTAGATACATTTCACTACACTTTACATGGCGGATCTTACACGAGCGTAGCCGCTGGGCGAAGGAGCGCAGGCGGCAAAGGGAAAGGCGAGGCTTCGCGCCTTCATAGCCAATTAAAGCCTCTGCGGAGGAGAGAGATTTTGAATCATGTGCTATGGTTTATGTAAATTAATCCTTGCGGAACTGGAATTTTATATTTTTGTTATTTTTTCAACCGTTACAAAAATGCTTAAGGTGGCTCCCTAGCAAGCGCTATCCATGACCATAACAAAATACTAAAATTTACCCAAACGCTATAACACTTTTTCCATATTTGAAATGGCTATATGTATGTACTATGAGTTTTAAAAGTTTTGAATGAATTTCATACATGCAGCATTTCTGTATTTATACAACCGGTCCCTGTGTTAGAAAATATAAAAATACATTATTAAGTTAAATAGAACTATAAACATGCAACTATTGGTTAATTAATTAGCATTTTGAATGAAAATTGATAGAATTAGTATTGTCTTTGACGTTCTTTAAGTGACGTTATATATTAAGTGACATAATTAACAACGATGGTTTTAGTTGTAAAAATATTATGTAATTGTAATGTAATGATGATGTAATATAATGCAGTGTATGAAGGCAGTAAGAAAGGCTGATAGAAATAATTGCCTTCCGAATTTCGCTAATGGCTAAAAAGGATGGACGAGAGGGAGTTCAAAACTTAAACACATGCAGATGTATAAGGTTTAAGATTGTTATAAGTGCATGATGGTTGATTCTTTGGTGTTTTAACGATCCTGAAAAACACCCGTCATCTTGAAAACCTTGCTCTCGTCCATACGAGATCGGGGTTGTTGCTAAAAGCGGATTTCCATTCAGTGCAAAATGTCGCACGATCAATTTTTGGCGATCGCTTTCTTTTGAAATGTATGCAGTCTATTACAGCTAATGAGATTTGTTCCGCTTGACTGTTTGTACATGCATGTATTTCAAAAGAAAGCGATCGCAAAAAGTCGATCACGCAACATTTTGCACTGAATGGAAATCTGCGCTTAGAAGCCCTGGGTACGAGGTTGCAACGACCCATGCTTTTCGTCTGCAGTTAACTTGTTTTAGAAGGCAGCCGTTTAAAAGGGATATTTTCAATAAAACTGCAATATTTTTGCGACCATGGATAAACATGGGATGGTTCGACATTTGGCAGTTGTGGACATTTCTCTCCTGTAGAAGACAGCCTTTAATTCTTGCTGCCTTTTGCGCTATTCAAACGAATCGTGGAAACACTGTCTTAAATTATAGTCAAACTATAATATACTCTTGTATCCGTAAACGATGAATAAGAATAATAAATAAAATTATTAAAAAAAATAAAACCAGCGACTGACTTGTTTATTCATTATACAAAGTATATTACTGAACTGTGATATTTAACAACAAGACGCTCTGTGGAGCGTTAACTCGCTGGGGCTACACAACTGACGCACATTACTGTTAAGATCTAAAGGCTGATTTCCACTGTTGCGTTTTTCGTACGCACGTACACGCACGTAAAACTTTGAATCCTTCTATTTTTAAATATTTTACAAATAAGTTAACAAATTCATACTAAAACTTGCGGAGCAGTAAATTCTGTTGCTTTATTTATTTGGTTATTTTACAAATTTAAAGTTTTACGTGCGTATATTAAGCCTGGTGTGGAAATTAAGCCTGGCCCCGAGCTAAGGGGAAACTTCCGGCGTTTATGCCCACAAGTAAAGTTATATTTTATAGTACGCTACGTTCTTCTGTCGGCCGCCAGTTTAAAACGTTCAAAATAAAATTTTTGGGGCTTTTGGGCTCAAAACATCATCAAAATGAAGAGAGAAGTGAGACGAATCCACTGATGTGCCGCCGAAAAAGAGAAAACCAATGATACCAAAGGTATCAAGTCGAATCAAGGATCAAACGTACTGCATCTGTTATAATTTGAGCGTTTGTCAACAAATAATACAATTTCGCTTGGCTTTCAAACACAAAGTCAGAGGCCATAAATCGCTAGAATACTGTTGTCAGTTGTTTAGTATTACATTTGACATCCGTAGGTACAATTTCTCATCCGTAAGTACAATTTCTTATGCTGAATCGAACGCTGGTATTTTTATTCTTATTGCGCCATTAATTAGGCAATACAAATACAAGGTCAAGGACAAACGTACTGCGAGTGATTTGATGTCAACAAGACAATTTCGCTTGATTTTCAGAGGCCATAAATGGCTAGAATACTGCTGTTTAGTAATACTTTTGACACCCGTAAGTACAATTTCTTACGCTGAATCGAACGGTGGTATTTTTATCCTTATTGCGCCATTTATAAGAGGCATTACAAATACAATATCATGTTTCGCACTGATTACACTACAGACAGTTTTCGATAAATTTTATATTGATATGACACCAATATCAAACATTCCAACCGTCACGGTTTACCCGGGACTGTCCCGGTTTGGACTATGTTGTCCCGGTGTCCCGGTTTTCTTCTTATTGTCCCGGTTTCTGAAGTATTTAAATAGTTATATTCTTCAAATAAGGCTCATGTGACAAATATTAATGAAATTCGTAATTTGGTTCAATACATATTAATGAAATGGGAGCTAGTTCTAGTCATTTTGTATTACGCACAAAAGTGGTAACCATTCCCCGTTTGTAATAAAAAATGACCGAAAATTGCAAACTTCGCAAGGCTACATTATCCGCATTTTACAACATTTTGCAACGAAACTTTGGAATATTACTAATTTTGTGATGCTCTTTCAATCATGCTGCGATGAAATATTTGTCTAGAATTGTTGAGTTCAAAATTTTGGTTAATTGGGGAATGGCCATTCCTATTCATTTTGCCAGGGCTACATGGAGTAAAGCACCTTAACAGAAGCGGGCGCAATAATCGAGGGCTTTTGAATACGAGAGGTTCACAGTTCAAAAGACCAGTAGTAAAACGAAACAATTTCTCCAGTAGAGTGATTTCAATGAAATTAAAGCTTGTTGAGATGTAATATTACTTATGGGTTTCAACGTTGGTGTAATAAAACTAGTTTTTGTAGCATCCACTGTGAATTTATTGTTTAATTCAAACTCAACTCAGCCAATTTTAACACTAACCCAAATAGACACTGGTGCACATCAATGAGAAAAGCGCGGCATTTATTCGAGGGAGGCGTTTATTCGAGGGAGGCGTTTATTCGAGGAAGGCGTTTATTTAAGAAAAATTGGAAAATTGGGAAGTGTCCCGGTTTTGAGCACTCGGAGGTTGGAATGTCTGCAATATGCTTCTCATAAAGTTGTTATAATTTAAACTGCACAACGTAGTTTTAATAAATAACCTTTTACCTTGAAATTGTCTTTGAAATATTCAGATTCAGTATATTATGATCGTGCACGGGAATTCAACGATCCAAATTTCAGATTTTCAGAGTCGTGCACCAAGAAAAACGCATTAAATAAACTAGCATGAATGTCCAGAGTTAGACACAAAGCAAAATCCATAGCAAACAAGTACAATTCGGCCAAAATTTTCACGAAATGGGGCCTGGAATTGTTTGAAACATTTTGCCCACTCCACGAAAGGCCCCGCCATTTTGAAAAGGTCAAGCAGCTCATTAATATTCTATTTTGTGGCTATCAACGACGATCGGAAATCTGACATCCACCATGCGAGCCGAAACCTATACTCGTCTGGGGCACAGTGCCCCAGCGAGTAATTATTCGCCGAAAGCGAGGTGATTATCGGGGATTAGTATGATTACATAGGTGATTATTGAAAATTCTCCAGGCTGATTGGTTGCCGTTGAGGTGATTATAACGCGATAATCACCTAAGTGATTTTCAAAATGGCGGCCGAAGCCGTTTTGTCAATTACATGACGAAGAAATGTGTATTTTTAATTCTTTTCCAAATAATCACCTATGAAATGATACTAAAACAATTATTCACCTCAGACTCGGTGTTATCGTGAATAAAAACCTCGACTTCGTCTCGGTTTTTATTCACTGATAATCACCTCGCCTTCGGCGAATAATTGTTAAATATTCGCCGAGACGAAGTCGAGGTGAATATTCCCCGATAATCACCGAGCCTGAGGCGAATAATTATTTTAGTATTTTTGTGTTTTTTTGGGACTGAATTTATTTTAATTTCGCTTATTTCTCTATCAGTATAACTTCCACAAAACGGCTAGCCGCCATTTTGAAAATTTCGGTTTTGTTATATTCACCTGTAGGTGAATATAACAGCTTAATACGTCAAATCTGACCAATCAACTTGTAAGATTTGTTATGTTCACTAATGCCGGTTGTTCACCTCAGTTAAATAGTAATAAATAATAATGCCTGTAGTTGGTCATCTGAAGCCCCGTGACCACAAATCAGCCAATCACGTTTGGTGTTTACCCTCGCTATAGGGGCCATTCACAAAATACGTGACGCTCGTGGGGTGTTTGATCAGGAGTCACATAGTGTCACAAGGGGGGGGGGTCACAAGCGGCATAACGTGACGGAACTTAGGCGTATAGGGGGAAATTTATCCCTGTCTATAACAAAACAAGACCGCGTGCTTGCAAATATGTGTCCCTTAGATGACAAATCAATGTTTTCTATCAAAATACTCCTGACATCGCCATGGAATACAGCACTTGTTTCTTCAGCGAACTCTGCGAGAACCTGAGTGGGAAACTGTTTAGGCCGATGTGAATAAGGCATTGAAATAGTGTCGATTTATAGATAACGTTTTGAATCTTTTGTTGCATATTAAATTTGTGTTTTGTGAGTTTTTTGCGGGAAGGGGGGGGGGACTGGTTGGCTCCGAGTCACTTTATGATGGGAATGTACTGCTAGCTGTCACACACTGTCACAAGGGGGTAGAGAGGGAATGAAAAATTGCCAAAAACAGCGTCACGTATTTTGTGAATGGCCCCATATAACAAACTGTGACATTGCCCTAGGTTGTTTACATTGTTGGCACATTGAAGCTGTGGAAACCCAGGTAAAATTCCTGAGCTCCAAAGAGGCTTGGATCCGATCCGTGCGATTTTAAATTTTAGCCAGACGTTTTGTACCAGCTAAGATCTAGAGCTAATGGATCTCCACGTAATTTAGTTTCTAACGCAATTAATATCAACAAGGCACCTGGTTATGATAATATATCACCTAAGTTTCTTAAACTATCCTCAGACGGAATAACTGAGCCGCTTACAAATTATTTATTTATTGTATAGTCAATGCAACATGGCCTAGTGAATGGAAATTGAGTAACGTCTGTTCTGCCTTCAAAAAAAGTGACTCAACTAATAAAAAAATTACCGCCCAATAACCCTACTGACAGTCATTTCAAAACTTTTTAAGAAGGTTAAATACGACCAACTGCTGCAAGGTTTCCTTCCAGTTTTTTCTGATATGTCGGGGTTCCTCCCGGGTCATTCATGCTGTACGGCACTTCTAAAAATGGCCGATGATTGGCGTGAAAGTCTGGGTAAGGGTCAGGATGTGGCTGTTATAGCTGTCGAACTACCTAAAGCGTTTGACTCTATTTGTCATAATTTACTATTAGCAAAGTTGCGCGCTTATGGCCTATCTGACTCTGCAATGAGGTTGATGGCATCTTATTTGACGAATCGTAAACAACGCGTGAAAGCTAATGGTGAATTTTCGGACTGGAGTTTGTTGCAGTGTGGAGTGCCCCAAGGCAGTCTACTTGGCCCATTATTGTTTATTATCTTCATTAATGATTTGAACGGTATAATTAGTCAGTCATCTCTTCGCTTATATTCGGATGATATGGATGGTTATAATACAGATGTCTCCCAATGGTCTTCTCGCTGAATAATTACTTAGGTAAATTAATTGGTTGGAAGTAAACTATCTATTAATGAATCCAGAGAAAACAAAGTCGATGATCCTTGGAAAGTCAAATTATTACTATGAATTTCAGATTGACAATAAACTTGTCTGGTCGATGGATTTTTTACGCATTTTGGGAATGACCTTTGACAAAACACTAACATTTAAAGATCATGTTAAGGAAATTAGAGTAAAGGCATGTGCTAAAATTGGTGCATTACGTCGACTTGAAAGAATTATTCTTGTTGATATTGCTGTACGAATGTAGGTTATAAGACATCTGTTTTACCTCAGTTGGAATATTGCAATCCAGTCTTACTTGGCATTGGGAAGACATTATCTAACAAGTTAGAGTCTGAGAACAATACCGGACATGAATAAAAATACTGATTATATAACAGTTTTGGAAAACGCGGGAATGAATTGTCTCGAACATAGAGGATCTAGTCAATCTTTAGTTATTGC